AAGTATTAAAAGTTAAAAAAAATAACTAAATTGAAACAGTAAAAAATCGGAAAAACGAAAAACTGAAAAATAAAAAATTTGAACAATCGAAAAACTGAAAAATCAAAAAATTGAAAAATCCCAAAATTGAAATAATCTCGAAAAATTGAGAAATCGATAAATTGAAAAGTCGTAACATCAAAAGGTTGGGACATTCATAAATCGAAAAGCCGAAAAGTCGAAAAATCGAAAAACTGAAACATTGAGAAATCAGACGTCAAAAGATTGAGAAAAAGAAAAAAGTTCTGAAGTTGAAAAGCCAAAAAATCCAGAAATCGGAATAGGATAAAATTGAAAAATCCAAAAATTAAAAATTGGAAAATTGAAAAATTAAAAAAAATATAAATCGAATAATTAAAAAGTTGAAAAATCGAAAAATCGGAGAACTGAATAATATAAGATAAATCCTGAAATTGAAAAATTGAAAAATGTAAAAATTAAAATATTCAAAAATTTAAAACCCGAGAAATTTCAAAAATCTAATATTTGAAAAATCGAAAATTCCTGAAGTCGAAAAAAACCGAAAAGTCGAGAAATCGAAATGATATCCAAAAACAATAAAAAAAGACAAATTGAAAAATAGAAACATCGAAATCTCAATATTTCCAAAAATCGAAACATTGAAAAATCGGATAATTGGAAAGTCGAAAAATCCAAAATTTCAAAAATCGAATAATTCAAAAATTATTATTAAAGTAAAAAAATTGAAAAATGGAAAAATAGGAGAATCGAAAAATTGACAGATCGAGAAATCGAGACATCAATAAATCGAAAATCGAAATATTGAAAAATCTAAAAACTTAAGAATCGATATGTTGATAAATCCCAAAACTGAAATATAGAAAAATCGATAAATTGAAAAATCTAAAAATTGAAAAATTGAAAAAATCTGAAAAATCTAAAAATTCAGTAATTTAAAAATTGAAAAATTGAAAAATTGGAAAACTGAAAAATCGACATATCGAAGAACCTAGAAATTAGAAATTGAAACATCGAAAAATTTGAACATTGAGAAATTGAAACGTCAAAAGATTGAGAAATCGAGGAATAGAAATGTCCTGAAGTCGAAAAACCATGAAAATTCAACAATTGAAATAGAATAAAATCGATGAATCAAAAAATTAAAAACTAAAAAATCGGAAAATTTAAAACAAAAAAATTGATAAATTGAAACACGAAAAACCAAAAAATCTGAAACCGAAGTCGAAAAATCAAAAGAACTAGAATTTAAAAATTTGAAAAAAATTGAGGAACAGAAAAATCTAATAATGGAGAAATTGACAAAGCGAGACATCGAGAAATCGAGATCCAGAAATCGGGAAATCGAGAAAGCGGAAAATCGAGAAATCAAAAAATCTAAAATTAAAAATATTGAAAAATTAAAATGTCAAAAATTGGAAGATTGAGAAATCTAAACAACAAAAAATATAACATTAAATAATTGACAAATCTAAAAATTGAAAAATTGAAAAATATAAGAATCGAAAAATAGTCTGAAATATCGAAAATTGTACAAATCGATAAATCGAAAAATTGAAAAACTAAAAAGCCGAAGAAAAATTGATAAATCTAAAAACTGGATGATTGGAAAGTGAAAAATCGAAAAATTTAAAAATTGAAGAATTGCAAAACTGGAAAATCGGGAAATCGAGACGTCGAGCAATCGGAACAACGAAAATTCAAGAAATCGAGAAAAGTGAAAATCAAAAATTCGAAAAATTTAGAAGTCGAAAAGTCAAAAAAATAAAGAACCGAAAAGTCGAAAAATCTATTAATCGAGGAGTCGATAACGCCAAAAATCGAAAAATTGAAAAATCGAGAAATTGAAGAATCGAAAAACTGATAAATTACAAATCGAAAAATTTTAAAATCTGAAAATCGAAAATTTCAAGAATCGAATCAGTGATAAAACGAAAAATCTGAAACAGAGGAGTTGAAAAATCAAAAGAACTAGAATTTCGAAATTGAAAAAATAGAAAATTCGAAACATTGAAAAATCGAAAAATCGGTAAATCGAGAAATCGGAAAATCGAGAAATCCAGAAATCGAAAAATCTAAAATCAAAACATTAAAAAATTGACAAATGGAGAAGTCGAAAAATCGAGAAAAACTAAAAAGCCGATGAAAAACTGATGCATCGTTGAAGAATTGAAAAACTGGAAAATCGAGAAATCGGGATGTCAAAAGATCGAGAAATCGAAAAGTCCTGAAATCGAAAAACCCAAAAATCCAAAATTCGGAAAATCAAAAAATTAAAAATTGAAAATTCGATAAATCGAAAAATTAAAAAAATCTATAAGTCAAGTAATCAAAAAGTTGAAAAATTGGAAAATCGGAGAACTGAATCGTCGAAAAATCGAAATATCGAAATCTCGATAAATCCTGAAATCGAAAAATTGAAAAATGTAAAAATTAAAATATTCAAAAATTTAAAACCTGAGTAATCGAAAAATCAAAAATTTCAAAAATCCAATATTTGAAAAATCAAAAATCTGAAACCGGGAACTCGTAAAATCGGTAGATTGAAATTTAAAAATTTGCAAAATTAAAGAATATAAAATTGAAACTGTTTAACGAAAAATTGAAAAATCGAAAAGTTGGGAGATCTATAAATCGAAAAGCCGAAAACTCAAAAAATCGAAAAACCTATAAATCGGAAATTGAAACATCGAACAATTCAAAACGTCGAGAAAGAGAAATATCAAAAGATCGAAAAATCGAGAAATCCAAAAGTCCTGAAGTCGAAAAACCAAAAGCTCCAGAAATTAAAACAGCATAAAAAAAAATTTAAAAATCTATAAATTGAATAATCAAAAAGTTGAAAAATTGAAAAATTAAATCGTCGAAAAATCGAAACATCGAAAGCTCGATAAATACTGGAACTGAAAAAATGGAAAAATTAAAATATCGAAAAATTGAAAAACTAAAAATCGAAAAATCAAAAATGTAAAAATCGAATAAATGAAGAACCGAAAATTCTGAAACCGAGAAATCGAAAAATCGGAAGATTAAAATTTAAAAATTTGCAAAATTTGGGAATAAAAAATTGAAAAATTGGAAAATCGAAAAATTGAAAAGTTGAAACATCGAAAAATTGAAAGATGGATGAATCGAAAAGCCCAAAAATCGGAGAATAGAAAAACCTATAAATCGAAAAGTCGAAATACGATAAAAGCGGAAAATCGAAAAATTAAAAATTGAAAAATCAGAAAATTTAAAATAAAAAATTGATAAATCCAAAAACAATAAAAAAAGAAAAATCGAAAAATGGAAAAACATCGAAATCGCAATAAATCCAAAAATCGAAAAATTAAGAAATCCGAAAAATGGAAAGTCAAAAAATCAAAAATTTCAAAAATGGAATAATTCAAAAACCGAAAAATCTGAAACGAAGAAGTCGAAAAATCGAAAGATTTAAAATTTAAAAATTCGCAAAATTGAATAGAAAAACTGAAACACTGAAAAATCGAAATCTCGAGAAATCTAGAAATCTAAAATCCAAAACATCGAAAAATTGAAAAATCGAAAAATCGAAAAACCGAAAAACTTAACAATCGATATGTTGAAAAATCCCAAAACTGAAATTTTAAAAATCAAAAATGAAAAATCAGAAACCTGAAAAATTTAAAATTTCAATAATTTAAAAATCGAAAAAATGAAAAACTGAAAAATCGAGAAATCGGAAAATCTAAATTTAAGAAAATCGAAAAAATAAAATGTCGAAAAATTGGAAGATTGAGAAATCTAAACAACAAAAAATAAAACATTAAAAAATTGACAAATCGAATAATAGAAAAATAGAAAAATATGAGAATCGAAAAAGTATCCCAGAACTGAAATATCCAAAAATTTATAAATGATAAATCCGAAAACTGTAAACTAAAAAGCCGAAGAAAAATTGATAAACGGAAAAACTGGATGATTGAAAAGTGAAAAAGCAGAAAAATTGAAAAATTGAAAAATTGAAGAAACGAAAAATTGAAAGATCGGAAAATCGAAAACTTTAATAATCGAGTCATTAATAAAACGAAAAATCTGAAACCGAGAAGTTGAAAAATCGAAAGAACTAAAATGTCCAAAATGAAAAAAAATCAATCACTGGAAAAGTCGAAAAATCTATTAATCGAGAAATCGAAAATTTGGAAACGCCAGAAATTAAAAAATTGAAACATTGAAAAACTGAAAAATCGAAAATTGAAAGACTCGTAAAACTGAATTTTCGGACAATTAAAAAATCGAAAAATAAATAATCGAGAAAGCGATAATTTAAAAAAATCGAGAAATTGAGGAATCTGGAATTTGAAAAGCCAGAATTGGAATATCGAAATATAAAGTAATCAAAATTGCAAAATTTTTGTACAAGATTCGTAAACCACAAGTGGAGGATAAAATTTAAATAACATTTTCTATTGTATAATTTGAAAAAAAAACGACATATTTATGACAATATTTTAGGAAATTTTCAGTCTGCAGACGTGTAAGTAAAATATCGGTTCATAAATAATCTTTCAGTGTGCAGTGAAAAGTGCACATATTTTAAAATGGTAAACAAAAATAAAAGTTCACAAATATCTTTGATTTTGATAAACTTATTCAGACAATGTACACAACATTCTAAAAATAGCCATCGCTAATTTTAAATAGTCATACTAGGGGAAAGACGGGTACGTATTGATACAAGGTGCTCAAACTTAACAAAAAATTATATTTGATTAAGATTAAAAATCGTAGATGTCTATAATTGTAATTTTTAACGCATTCTTTATTTCACCACATGGTCAGGCCATTTTGTGGACAATCACCATAATATAAACTTTCAGAAAAATCTTTATGTTATTATCACTAAGGTGTTAAAAAATAACGAAGCGGCTTTCCCCTAAGCTGCATTCCATACCACAAGATAACTTTATTTTCAAAACAAGCAAACTTCGTCACATTAGATTTTTAAAAACAGATAATGTGAGTAAAACATAAACAGGATGGTTTTAAAAATCATTAGTTAACGCGGTTAACTCGGCATCACGAAAAAAAAAACATAAAAACACCGTAAAAAATCTAAGTGAGCACTTCAAATATAGATATAGTATAATAAATCACAAACAAGTACCCAACACGTGACTTCCGTCCAGGTATAAAAGCAAAAACTGGTGAACTTTCTTGACTTCAAAACGATGAAATACGTAGAAATATTTTTCTGTACTGTGGTTTGTGGTGCTTTCGCTACGCGTAAGTTTTTCGTTTAGTTTATTAATGTAATTTTGATTCTAATGTCTATGTTACAGACCCCGAAAAAAATTTGGACCACCACCTGGAAAACAACAAAGAAAAAGGATGCAATGAAGAACCAGGTAAGCTCAGAATAATGAAGCTTTATATATATAATTGCAAGGAACTTTTTGGTCTTTTATAGAACGTCTTGTCCTTACGTATAACCCTAAAACTCAAATCCAACTAATAGTGAACGAGACAGCTCACACAGTTCCCGTTTTGGACTACTCCAACAACATTACCACTCTCTACAATGGTAGAACTCGATCTGCATTATCCTTCAACTTTGAAACCGGAATATCGGTATTCATTCCACCTGGATCCTCCAAAATGACATGGGACAGCTCCGAACAAAGCTTCACTGATTTCTTCGCAGAATTACCTTCTCAAACCAAGATCTACAAATATGGTGAAACTCATGGGGTGCGTTTCGACCCCATGCACGTCCCGGAAGACATCTCCGAAGAAATGGGGGCCATTTTAGAATCAGTCAGCCAAGAATACAAAGAACGATGTGAAGCTCTATCTGTAGTACTACACATTTCCCGAATAACATCAAACTACTTCAAAACTTCCATGGTTGGATACCCACAAGTCATGGGGAGCGTAAACGCCGAGTTTAGGGGCGACTTAAAATGGCTGTTCGGTTTTTATCAAGGTTTGGGGGAGTTTTTCGGAAAAATCGACGGAGGGATGACCATTTTGGCCAAAAAGAAAGTCAAGCTCGACTTGGGGAAGGCACTCACTGAGAAAACTGGCATTCATGTCATGATTTACTTCCTGAAGGTGTTGCACGAAAAGTTCGACGTAGGGAAACTCTTAGGGAAGGATTTGAATTCTGTGGAAACTTTCTTCCCTCTTGTTGATATGTTAGGGGGTATGCTTGGTTACGGTTTCGACGGATTTGTCCACATATTGAGTGAGATTGTGAGGTTTAAGATTGGTCATAACTCCATACAAAATGTGGAGACTCTGTTGAACGAATATTGCAGTAGTCCGAAAACGAATAGAGCGATTGTGAAAGAGACTTGGAAAGGGAGTATTGACGATTTTTTGAAAACTCTTGACGATTTGAAAGTGAAGAAGGATTTTAAAGGGTTGAGTAAGGTTTTGACGGAGATACGTGAGGGTAGATGGATTTATAAGAAAGTAGATTTGGGGAAAATTTCCAAAGTAATTATGAAGCTTGAATTTCCTTGTAATAAAGAACTGGTTGGGGAAATTTTGAATTTACTTGGAACAACTTCTTAATGATTGGTGTTTGTATTAAAAAAGAAGGGTTTGTGTAATTTTCACCAAATTTCAATAAAACATTGTAATTCTGATTGATAGTTGATGTTTTCAAGCAATGTCCAAAATATTTAACCAATTCCGTATTCTTAGTGTATAAGTGTTTGTACTGAGTTCTATAAATATGGTATAAATGTCTATTAAAGTACACAAAACCACAAACATTACTTTAATGAAAATTGGTTGAAGGTTATGTCGACATTTAAAATTGTAAGATGACGTTAAAAACACGGACGTTTAGGGTAAAAACTCAACTCGGATTCATAAACCACAAGTGCTTAAATATCTAAATTTAATAACATTTTCTATCGTAAATGTTTGAGATGACGTCATCCCATCGTTGGTGGGGATATAATATTCCTAACATTCATATTAAATTTTACCACAATCAGCCCAATACATTATCTGTCAAATGAAGCGTCAAAAAAACATGAAAATAGTCATTCGTAAGATGCACCCTGTTAAAAATTTATGTAAACGATTTCGAAAATTTTTTTGACATTCAGAAATGGTTGTAAATTCACCTAGCAACAATTTGAAACGATGCCATTAGACGGATCATATTAAATTTTAGATTAAAAGTATATTTATTGAATTTTATTCTAACTCTATCAGTTTTGTTAACTAATCAATTTAAAAATATTGAATATTTCTGTAAATAAATAAAAAAAATAATGTTATATATCAATAATTAGTAACAGTAATAGTATAACAAAAAAATGACGATAATGTTTTTTTTAACAGCCTACGTTCTATTAGTTTCGAATTTCACTTAACAAAAGAATATACATATAATTTACCCCGCCCACCCACCCTTCCTCCATTTCAGTGATTCATTTTGTCTAGTCCGACCGAAAGGTACCTGGATCTCAACTGAAGAGAGACAAAATCGTTATAATAGAGAACAGCGTGTGTGGGCGGGTATCTGCTAAGATAAGATTGATTTGATTGATAAGGAGGTGCTAGTACTTGCTAAGATAAGACTGATTGTGGCAAACGACATGCCTTCTAAGAAAACAGAGGGCGAGTGGGCGGGGCTAGTACTGTTAAGATTGATTTTGGGAAGTGACATAACTTCTAAGAAAAAAAAGGGCGGGTGGGCGGGGCTAAAATTTGCTATGTTAGGACTGAACAATAATAAGAGTAGTCACTGGAACGAACAGCGGGTGGGTGGGCGGGGCTACTGCTTGCTCATAAAACTAGAAAAAAGCTATTTTAACCACGCCCACCTTCCTTCACCATTTCACTGCCTTATTTTATTTAGTGTAAAATGGAGTGAACCGTTCCCGATTTAATCAATTTAATAAATTGACTCATTTATTAATTTTTTGTAGCCATGTGTTTAAACAAATCTAAAAATTTTGCACATTTTGGGTAGAATTTATTCGGCAAAATTTTGAGATAACGTCATCAATTTTTGGGGGGAATAAATAGACATATTTTGATTAACAATTTACGATGCTTACAATAACTTTAAAACGTCTGCAAGATTTCAAAGTATTCAGTTTTGCAGTTCTTGATTTTTAGTTGAAATTATTAGATGACGTCATCAATTTTTTGGGGTGCATAAACAGATACATTTTGATAGAAAAGTTACCATTTAAACGTTTCAACTGAAAATTCGGATGAGCATTGTAAAAACTCAAGGCTGTTGGAGTATGTTATTTTATAAAATTTCAGTGGCATTTATCAAGCAAAATTCTTTAGGTGACGTCACCACATTGTTGGTGGGGATGATTAGATAAATTTAGGTAGCGCTTTACCATCAACACAGTATTCCTAACGTACGTATAATTTGACAATTGTCCCCGTAATTTTTTGAGTTTAACTGTCTAATAAAAATCGACACAACTGACAGACAGAAGTAAACGGAAAGCCTATTTTTTCATATTCTAGAACGTCATAAATGTCGAGAAACATGAAAAATATTACATTCAAGAAATTTTTAATTAATGTAGTTTTATTTGTGCAGTTCCTAGTTAGACGAAAATAGGAACTTAGCAATCAAATCTATCTTTTTCCTTGGTTTTGCATACATACAAAAGAATAAACACAAACCAGTAACAACTGTCTTTACAGAAATATGTATAACATCAACAGAATTTCTAAAAAGATACGGTCGTAGAAAGATTTGTCTGTAGAACATATGTAAAACGACTGTTACGACACTCTCGTAGTATAATCTAAGTAATAAGCCGTAATTTGTACTAGTTGTACAGTCCCAGGCAACATGATGTCTTTTTCACGTGAATAAATGGTCATCAATTAGGTCATAGTGACCAAAGATTTCACGTGATATTGACGTACCAATGACAGTCAAATGTCTCGTCCAGATGACGTCATTTTCTAACGAACTATTGACGTGATGTACTCACGTCTTAGAGTCGTCATTTTGTCACGAACTATTGACGTGATGTACTGACGTCTTAGAGACCGCATTTACTGTCCATTTTAAGACGTTTTTTATATTTTAATTTTTAGAAAAAACTATGCAATAAATAAAACGCTGAAATAAATTTAATAAAACTAAATATTAAATCACTCTCTAATTTTTTGGTAACCATCATCACTTTATAAACGTCTTTATAAAATCAAAATTCGACGAAGGAATTCTTCAAAACCACAAAGAATTTTTATGACTTTGTGTCGTACGGTCTTTTCACTATTATACGCTCAACCCCGGATGTTCTATTTATAATTTGCCAAGCAGGTACTTACAAAATGACACTTCCAAAGTAAACAAGTTTTCAGAAATAATTATTTTATTAGAAATTATTACAATAAAAAAACTTGTCTTTGTTGTATTTCTAATAAAGTCGTTGTATTTTTTGCTCTAAATATAATTAAGCATTATGAAGAACACTTTTTAAAGAATACGACGACCCACATCTAAGTGATCATATAATCTATAAAAAATGACGAGGAAAGGACGGCCTTTTGACGTCATTAATTGACGTCAGAAGTAAGTCATAAAAATCTCGTCATTATCACGTGATTTTTTGGGCGAATGACGTCGCCGACGAGTTATGACCAAAAATTGACGTGAATTAAACGACAGTCTGCTGCTTGGGGTATACTAATGTTGTTATTAACTCGACGAGAATTTTAACTTCCTGAATATAAAAACACCAAAAGAAACAGAAAACAGAAATATGTACTTAAAGAAAAACAAAAATTAGCATAACGCAGTTTAACAAATTCCCTGATGATCTTTATCTCTTTTTTGTCCCACCCCATCTAAATTGTGAGGATTTTTTTTATTATCAGAAATTTAAAGCACAAGGAAATATGGATTTTACAATTAGGCTCCGCTCCTAGGTTGGCCCACGAATGAAAGCTTTATATTTTGCCTTTTGTCTTAACATACATAGCTATCTTTTCACAACAAGAAACTTAAAACATGGATAAAATGGTACGTTTTTGGAAGGAAATAAGGATTTTGCAATTATCGGGCGGAGCCTAATAACAAAATCAATATTTCCGTATACAAATTTTCTATTTTAAACATGTTTTAAGTTTCATGTTGTGAAAAAAAGTCTACACATATTAAAACAAAAAGGCAAAATGTAAGACCGCCCACCCACCCTGTCTCAATTGTGTTTTTTTTTTTATTCACCGTGAACCAAGGCGGGGCTTAAATGCAAGATACTTATCTCTTTACAAGAAATTAAACTCATGTTTTCGAGTATCGTGTTGTTCAAAAAATACTAAGTATGTTAAGAAAAAGAGGCAAAATATAAACCCCGCCCACTCACCCCATCTCAATTTTGATGATTTTTTTTTGTTCTTAGAAACTTAAAAAGACACGTTTAAAATGGTAAATTTTTGTAGGGAAATATGGATTTTGCAATTAGGCTCCGCCCCTAGGTCTTGCAACGAATGAAAACTTTATTACTACATATTTAGATCAGGGCAGGTATGGGTGGGGCTTAATATATGCCTTTAATTTTTTCTTAATATACATAAGTAATATTCTTTGAACAATACTATACTCAAAAACATGTTTTTAATTCCCGTAGAGAAATAAGGATTTTGCAGATAAGCTTGGTTCACGACGAATAAAAAAAAATCATCACAATTGAGATGGGGCGGGTGGGCGGGGATACATTTTGCCTCTTTTTCTTAATATGTGTAGACTTATTTTGGCAACAAGAAACTTAAAACTTGTCTAAAATGGTAATTTTGTAATAATCAACTTATAGATCCGCCACATTTCTTCAACCCCTTTAAATACGGCAAAAGTTGAACATCAAAATTACTATCAGCGGCAACGTAAGTGGGAACAGTCACTGCAACGGGAACTTCAACTTCAACATTATAAATCCCACTGTACTTATATAAAAGAATTTAACAAATATGGGTACACTAAAACGAATAATAAACCAATAAATGAAGACTGATAGCAACACTTACTTTTAAACCTCGAATTCCTGTCCTTTCAGGCCTAGCCTGTACACAGAACACTCTGTACACTCACACTTAACTTTAGCAGAAAAGAAATGATTTTTAATAACATTAACAAATTGTTTTAATAAGTTAACTCCCTAAATGAACAAGCATTCATGAAAGACAAAAACTGTGGTTCCGTGCTGAAACGCATTTGACTCATTTGCGTTATAGGAACCCACAAAAAATCTCGCCACACTTCTTATCAGAGATTTTTTTGCGACACCTTAAACGAAGCATTGCAGCGTAAATAAATCTCTATCAAAATATTAAACACAGTATTAACAATCAGTTTACAATTATTTAATAATAATTAATGAAGAATATACTTACATTATTATTTATTCTCGATGCTGACATCTGTTTGAAAAATTTAGAGAAACTATAGAATAAAAAAAAATAATATCGATTAATAAATCAATATATTCTTTAAACTTGCAGATTAAATAAAAATTTTGCAACGCGATATTTTTATATAATATCAGCGTAATTTTAAAACTAAAAAAAAGATTTATGGTGTAGAATGTTAATTATGCTTTTTAAATTTTTAATTAAGTAACATAATATGATGTTGAAAACTATTGTCGCTTAAATTAGTACAGTTGCGCCTTTTATCATTAATAGTAATAAATTATGCAAATATATTAAATATCTATTAGTGTTAAACATCGCTATAAAAATATAAATATAACACAAAATTACAATAATGACATTGAACACATATTGGAGAGAGCGATTTTTTATTAAAATGTGAACACTGTAGTTATCTACAAAGATAAAACAAAGAATTATAGCTGTCTTTACAGCGCCTTTTAAACGATTTATTTGCCTGATTTACCTAAATAATGTTAAGTTGTCGAGTCAGCGTATGCGATATTAGCGTATTTACATAGATATAGACACTGAATGTTCGTAACATCAAAAAGATATTCTTAAAACAGATATATAAAAATGATATCATTGTATTATATAAGTTACAACGTCGTTAACATTTTTTTGTAGGCAGTATATTAAATTTAAGTATGAATTTTTTAAAATTTTATTCAAAAGTTAACTATAAAATTTTAAACTTTTGAAATATGTTTAAAAGAAATCATTTTTGGTGTTAGTGGCAAAGTAGGTACGTAAAGATTGCTGTGCTATAATATTTTTTATTTTTAGTGATGTTTTATTGTTTCCATAATATTTTTTGTTTACATTAATAAGTTGGGTTTATTAAGGTAGATGAATTACTACAAATATTTATTGTATTAATTTTTTCAATTAACACATTTATACAATTAGAAACCATTAAATAAATTATTCTGTAATGTGGGTTGCCTATGCACTCAATTTAATTAATCTCGTACATATTTGGGCATTTTGTAAAAAACCCATTATGTTATAAAAGTTAAATTTTAAATAAATTGCAAAAAATTATCCATAAATAAATTTTAGACTACGAAAAGTGCATTTTTTGAGTATAGTGATTTTTTTGACGTCCTAAGTAATAAAAAATGTCGAAGGACAAATAAGACGTATTTTATCGTTCTTCGTTTTAACAAATGCCAAAAATATTCAAAATTTGAGATAAGCTAAGGTACTAGAAAGTACTTTACATGTCAATTTAGATTTAAAGTTACAACATTTTCTAACTTGCAGTGTAAAATGCAGCAATACCTCGTACTGGTGGTACTTTGTGCAGTTCTTTTGCACACAATTTCCTCAAGTGATTCAAAAAATGGCGAAAAACCGTTCAAAGAAATCACTAACACAGGTAGTTGTACTTAAAAATGATCAACCAACTCAAAATGTGGTCATTTTTAGACGAACGCCTCGTCATCACCTACAACCCCAAAACAAAAATCCAAGTCGCTGTTAACCAAAAAGCAAAAACCGCTCCCGTTTTGGACTACACTTACAACATCAGTGCCATGTACAACGGAAACACCGGAGCTGCCATCTTCTTCAACTACGAAACGGGTATTTCAGTGTACATTCCTCCCGGAACATCCGACTTAACTTGGTACAGCTCTAAAAAAAGTTTCGACGATTATTTTGGAAACTTGCGTACTTTGAAAGATCTGTACCACTATGGAGAAACCCACGGAATTAGCTTCGACTCTGTCACCATCACCGACGCTATTTCTGAAGAGCTGGTTCAAATTTTTGAACCTCTGAGCTCTGAATACTCCTCACGGTGCCAAAGTCTGGCCACGATGCTACACATTTCTAAAATAACTTCCGACCATTTCAAGACGTCGATGGTAGGGTGGCCTGAGGTGATGGGTGATGTTAATTCACCATTTCGAGGCGACTTTAAGTGGTTGGTGGGTATGTACCAAGGCATTGGGGATTTCTTTGCTGAAATCGCAGGAGGGATGGGTCTGCTGGCTCAAAAAAGGGTTAAGCTAGATTTGGGGAAAATTCTGACGCAAGATGGAGGAATAGACGTGATGATTTATCTGTTAGAACAATTACATCCGCACTTCGATATTGGAAAAATATTAGGGAAAGCTTTGAACTCTCCAGAAAGATTTTTCACTTTAAATGATAAGTTCAGTGGGGAGATGGGCTATGGTTTCGACGGGTATATCCATGTGCTTGCCGAAATAATCAGGTTATATGAAGATAAAAGTTCTATCCAGAATGTGGAAATTGCGTTAACCGACTATTGCAAAAATCCGAAAACTAGTAGTAAGGGTATCCAGGAAAAATGGAACGGTTCGGTTAAGAAATTTTTAGCAACTATAAAGAAGTTGAAGTTAGATGAAGCTTTGAAAGATTTAACTGGACTTTTAGGAAATATAACTGACAATAAGTGGGTTTATAAGGGCGTTAATATGAGCAAAATTGTCGAGATTGTTATGAAAATGGATCCAAGTAACGTAGATTCAGTTCCTGAAGTTTTAAAATTACTGCAAGAAGGGAAGAAGAAAGATCTGCATGTCTGATGTCCCAGAAGGCCTTGTATACAATTTTATTTTGTCATTATACATTTATCTATAATATGTATACAGTGCCTAATATTTGTGTTGTGTCAAACAATATGTATTGTGTGTTGCCTACTTTAAACTCTATAATACTGTACTGTGTCTATAAACTTCTTCCGACTGATACTAGTAAATCTGGTAAAGATGGTCGAAAAAACGTTGAAATTTTCATAAGGCGAGAATTTTAAAAATCGAGGAAAAAGTTGTCAAAAATCCACAAAAATTCGAAAAAATATGTTTAAGTTTGTGGTCCCACTGTTAGAAATATCCGATTTTGTGATGATATTTTTCTTTAGATCATCTAAATCAATAGAGAAGTTTCATTACATTATTTAACCATTCTGTGTAATTCCAAAACTAAAAATATATTTGTAAAATGCAAATAACACTGAATTTCAACGGATATTGTTTAATAAACAGTCGTTCCGAAATTATGTGATATAAATTTCAGGAAGGAATAAATAAATAAGTATTATTGTGCTTAATTAGATATGTTAAATTTTATTTGTTTACCAAAACACGTATTAACATTATTATTGCATTACATATTAATTTACATATTACTCTACATATTATATTACATATTACTTGACATATTACACTACATATTACGCTACATAATGCACTACATATTACACTACATATTACATCACATATTACACCACCTATTACGTTACATAACACAATACATATTGCACCACATATTATGTTGCACAGTACAGTAGTTATTATTTTAGATATTACATTACATATTATTTGACATAATACGTTACATATTCCATTATTCAACAACAAATAATGACTCACTATCAATATATGTGTATCGTACCTTTGAAGTACACCTAAAATTTTATAATAATCAGTTTCACTAATTATTATCTGTCCTAATAATAAGATACCTGTTAGACGATTTCCAGGCGGAAACAGGAGATCGACATGTTCGTATTCTACAAGCTGTAAAACTTCGAAATAACTTGAATTAGACATTTTACACAATAACTGTAATTATTACAAAACTTTTCAAGTTCAAGCTCGCAAAACAAAAGTTGTATTACTGCATAGAACGCTATCGTCAGTCTAGAAATAAATTTAAATTACAAATATTCTGAGTCACAATGCCACTTTTATTCCACATAAAACACAATATCAATATGAAAAACATAAAATGTTAAAAAGTAGAAAGAACTATCAGACATATGGAAAGCGATGGTCTGACTGGCGATGCTTTTAGTTTTCTTGTAAAGTATAATTCTGGAAATAAGTAGTGAAAATGTTTCCGTCTGTCTGTCTGTCGTCTGTCCGTGAAGATTTTTATTAGACAGATAATCTCCGAAATTATTATATTATTATTCTATTTTACGATACTCTGATTTTTGATTTTTAGTCTTTAACTGTATTCATAGTAATTTCTCTCCGGTTAAAAAATCAAAAAGCAACCAACAATACACCTAGCAGTCTAATATCTCCTGTCATTGGGTGTTTCGGTAATCAGAAGACATACACATCTGCAACAAAGCCAATCTTTACACAAATTTGTAAAAAGAAAAATCGAAAACAATTTCACTAGCAAATAAAAACAAATCTATTTCAAGCAACTATTTGCATGTTTGTTTTTCAGGACAGAAAGTGGAAACATTCAAATAGAGCTATGAATTCTTTAGAGAAATTTTTACAACAAAAACAACGGTCCACAAATAGCTTCTTGATAAATGGGCAAGGAATCTCTCAAGGCGAACATAATACTAAACATTTAAAAACATTTTAAAATTTTAATCTGTGTTTTCCAGTAAAAGATATAAATTTGGTAAGTTAGTCACGTTGACCATATCACTTCTACGTTGTTAACTTTTTAGTTTTTGCGGTCGACCTCTTTAAGTTTTGCTAGTTTTTTTTTATTGTCATCTATATTTAAACAACACATAAATTTAATGAGACGTCTTATACACGATTTTCCAAGAAAATCCTATACATATGCAAAACATGTAAATATTTATAATTCTGGATTTCTATATAAATCTTAACGACTTCAGCAAACGCTTTACTTAAAAAAATGAAATTTTTGGCAGTTTTTGTACTTGTCACGGTGACTGCAGGTACGTATTAACCTTACTTTTCTAAAAATTTAAAATTTTCTATTCATAGAAGACACTTCTACAACATCCGAAAGAAAAAATCAACTAGACGCCACAGGTAATTAAAACATTATTCTTAGTACCAATACTTGATAAGTTGAAGTTACCAGATAATCTGTTCCAAATCAACGCCAAATTGAAATACTACATCCCCTATAACAAAGCCCAATCAAAAGCCGGTCTTTTGGACTATCACCACAACATTAGTGTCTTCTATGACGGCTTAACAGGAGACGCATTTGCCTTCTATTACGAAGAAGGCCACGGTGTGTTCATACCCGGAGGAACTTCCGACCAAACATGGGACATCAAGCGTCAAAAATATGAAGAATATTTTGAAAATCCAGTAGCGCCACCACAACTATTTAAAACTGGCGAAAAGCACGGATACCAACTTCATCCTGATGAAATTTCAGAAACCATCGCTCTAAAACTGTCTCAAATTTTGACTCATCTTAGTCCGGATTACTCCTCTCAGTGCCAGGCTTTGGCTACAATACTATTCATTTCGAAAACAACGTCTGACAGACTGAAGACTTCGTTGTCTGGAGCGGAGAGGGCGGTTGGGGACATAAATGGACGAAATCGAGGTGACCTTAGATGGTTGGTTGGAATGGCTGAAGGAATAGCGGACTATTTTAGCATATTTGGAGGCATAGATGCTTTAAATCAAAAACACTTGCATCTAGATCTTGCCAAAGTCTTGAAGCAACAATCAGGGATTCACGTTTTGTGTTATTTCCTAGAAACGTTGGCACCACATTTTGATTTAGGGACGAAACTGGGAAAACATCTAAATTCACAACCGGATTTTTTCGTGCTAATTTGCAAACTGGGTGGTGGAATCAGTTACGGTTTCGATGGGTTTGTTTGCGTGATTTTGGAAATAGTGAAGTATAATTATGGAGAAAATTCTATTGAAAATGTTGCTGCAAATTTAAAAACCTACGTTGGTGATGCAAGATCAGTGACTTCCAATTTGGGTCAAAAGTGGCATACTTTTATCCAAGAACTGCAAGAGACGATTAAAGGACTTGAACTGGATCGAGCTTTTGGAGGTTTGATGGAGGTTCTTCAAGACATAGTGGGTGGAAATTGGGTCCAGAAAGGTATCAACATGTCTGAAATTGTTGAAGAGGTTATAAATGTCGAGATTCCTGGCAGTGAATGTTCGGTAATCAAAATTATAAATGACCTGAAGAAGAAATCTGGACCTAGAACTAACAACGCATCAGTCATATAGAAGTAGTTCATGCTGTTCACCGCGTGTTACAACAAATACAAACAATGAAGGCATTATTTTTGAAACCTTTAAAAACTGGTTTGAAGAGACCAGTATCAAGAAGCGGCAAAGTCACCTGCTGTAGTAATAGCTTTAACAAAACTATGCGGCACAATGTCCTGTACTAATAACATTTTTTAGAACAAAATAAAAAAAATGCATAATTAATTAAAAATTAAATGCGGTCAGTGGCCCTATTTGAAAAGAATTTAAATTTTTACAATAATAGCAATAAAATGAGCACCAAAAAAACAAAAATACATAATTAAATATATCACACGAAAATTTCTTTTCAAAACAAAACATTAAATTACAAATTTTAAGCCACGGGTGAGGTATATAACATAACTGCACTACAATGGACTCACATTTCAAAATGCGGATGTTCATAGTGATAACATGTGGCCTTTTATCATTCACTACTTTTACACAATGTAGGAAAATAGAAATACAAATTTATATTGTACGCCAAATTTGTTTTTAAATTTATGAGACATTTCTTTTTAAGAGAAAAATTCCAAGAAGCACTCAGTCCCGATTAAAAAAAAATTGTGGCTGGCTGGTGAGAAAGTCGGAACTCCATTTGATCTACTTCTATTTTCAGAAGAGCTTGCGCATCAACTTTCACAAATTTTGTCCCCTCTTAGCCGGGATTACTCTTCTGGGTGTCAAGCCAACTTCGCATTGTTTTATTATACTCTATTTGTTTTGACGTATGAGTTTACCATTTTTAATTTTACGCCAACATTAAGTCCTATGTAAATCCAGTGAACTAAGTGTTATTACAAATGCAATATGTTTACGTTCTAATCGATGATTTCTAAACGAGCGTCATTTTCAAAATTTCTAATTTAATATTTTCTTTATGTTTCAAAGTTCATAGAATATAAAAATGAAGCTTCCAGCTTCGGCCGTTCTAAATATAGAAAAACTACATAATTATACGTATAAAGATTTTTTACAAGGTCAGGAATTTGTGCTTCTATTTATATACTTCTGTATCCGTCTGTTTCTTTCTATATCCGTCTACACCCTTCTGTGTCCTTCCATATACATTTAGATCCTTCTATATCCTCCTATATCGGTCCGGAGAGACGTCTATCTTACCGGAAATTTTCTCTGTGCGTATTTTTGGTTTATTGCAGTCAGTTTAAGAACCTCAAATTTAATATTTCCTAGGCCAGTCATCGACCGATAAACTTCGAAATTCGCATATCACGACAGGTACTAACTGATTTTTTTAAATAATAATAATAATCCCTTTATTTGTCCAACAGAGCGAACTCTAATGACAGGACAAAACAGTTACACAAAAAGTACAAAATATATACATGCAAATCAATAACTTAACATCAGCAATTATTATTACTCCAAATTATAAACAACAATTTACAAATCAAAAATGTTTTCAAAAAATACATTGGCGGCTTTGCATATTACATAAATCGGTGACCCGTAAGACATCAGAGTTCTCATTGTAGGCAGGTAAAAGCTGGGGGCATATCTAGATGAAATTTTGGGAACATTAAATGTAAATTCTACCTAAAAGAAGTGGACAATCAATTTTATAATGAACAAATTTAGCGGCAAATTGAGTACAACGTTGTATTCTAATATCTGGAATATTCTAATAAGTAGTTGTTTCATCATATTAATTTTGGCAAAATTACAACTTACATGCATTACAAAGCCTAAGGACCTAGATGCAGAAGAACATACACTATTAAGGTGGTACCGAAAATTTAAGATAAGATCACTCCAAGATCCTTCATTACATCCTTTTTCTCAATTAAATGATCATCAATTGAATAATGAGTGTCCATAAAATATAAAGTTTTAGTGAAGGTAACAAAACAACATTTACCATAATTAGGAATTAATTTATATTTGGCACACCATTTTGCAAGTAAATCTAAGATAAGTGAATTACCCGTGAAATAAATCGTTGCGGTTTGCACCTAAGGTACTTCGTCGCACATTTGATTGACTTCGTGGACGTATGTCAGCTTGCCGTCTTCTCGACATTGTAATGAACTTCATAAAACGACACAGAATTATTTTCAAAGTCAATCAAATCTGTAAATTTTGTCTTGAGAATTTTAAAAAATTGAAAACTTCAAATTAAATCCTCGAATAACGGTAAAGTTTGAGGTTTTGTAGAAACCAACAAAGTGAATATAGGTAAATAGAATGGCAGATCAAAATTAATAAGAAACTTTCGCAATGTATAGCTAAATTCACTTTAACCAAAACTTTTCTTAAAATAAACGACATTTTTTTACGAAAAAACAAAGAACGATTTGAAATGTAATATACTATTTCACAATCGCAATGAAGAAATAGTTTTGTATGACACGTCGGTTAGACGACAGGTCCGTCAGGAACGCCAACTATTGAAATTAATTCGAAGTGGCGATTCCCATACAAAATTTTTAGAAGTTTTTGAGTTTTAGCGAGACTAACAGGAACAGCAATTGCTTTTTATTATGGGTATAGAAGATTAAAAAATGAGGGTTGGTGGTAGAAAGTGAAAATTTAGGGTTATATGTATTTTCTGATGTCAAATCTTAAAAAAATAAAAATAAAAAATTTTGCCCAAAAAAATAAACAAAAACCTTTTAGGGTGGGCCACCCTTATCACTTAGGGATATAAAAAATACGAGTAGTTTACAACCTATTCTCAGACCTATCAAATATGCATAAAAAATTTCATACAAATCGGTCAACCCGTTTCGGAGGAGTTCGTTTAGTGCTCATTCACAATGGGCATAAAACATAAGGATGTCATAAGCATTAATTCATAGGAATTTATGTTTAATGCTCTATGCTTCTATTCCTTCGCAATGAGCATAATACGTAGGACATCCTTATGCTCTAATCCTCAAAAGCGTGAGGATTTTCTGTATTCTAAATTCTGAAGTTATATGAGTTGACGTAGCCTGACAGATAAAACCAGGTTTCATCAGAAAAGAACGGCAAATCAAGAATCCTGTTATCGTCCATATTAGCTTGAAACCAGCAAGAAAACATGTCTCGGTGATATAGCGTTCCACGTTTGCAAGAAAAATCTCTCGGTGACATGATGATAATAACTGCCTAAGGGAATAAATTTTTTAATGCCCTTACCTCAGTGCACGATATTATGAATTCTACCGCACTTTCACGGTCCTTTTCCCAGAGTGGGACAACGTTAGGTTAATTTTAACTGCTGTGACTGAACTATTAGAAATCTTGTGTGAAGAATTAAAAAGTGTTATAATGTAACACTTAAGTATAAGCATCCAGAAACTTATTTATAATTTGATAAAGGATGAACAAATCTTATGACTGTTAAATTGCGTTCGAATCAGTTAACGATTAAACTTCTAACATGAACTGTGAATTTACAAACAATAAAACAAATTTACACCACGTGTTAGCGTCGGTTGAAAATTCGCATACTTCAGCTTGGAAAAACTGGAAAAAAATTCTAAAAGAAAAATCGAAAACAATTTCACTAGCCGATAAAAGAAATACGTTTCAAGCAATTACTTACATGTTTGTTTTTCAAGACAGAAAGTGGGAAAATTCAAACGGAGGTATGAATTCTTTGGAGAAATTTTTTCAACCAAAACAACGATCCACAAATAGTTTCTTGATAAAGGGGGAAGGAACTTCTCAAGGCGAACGTATTTAAAAACATTAAAAATTTTTTTTTATTTTTTGGTGTCGACCTCATTAAATTTTGACTACTTTTTTTTTAAAGTGTATTTCACGTTTATATAATCCATTGTAAAGAGTGTTTTAAGCATTATATTTTAAGCAACACATAAATTTAATGAGAATCCAATACATATGCAAAAGTTGTAAAAATTTATAGTTCTGGGTTTCTATATAAACCTTAACGACTTCAGAAAGCGCTTTACTTAACAAAATGAAATTATTCGCAGTTTTTGTACTCGTCACGGTGACTGCAGGTATGTGTTAACTTCACTTATCTGAAAATTTACAATTTTCTATTCATAGAAGACACTTTTACAACATCCGAAAGAAAAAATCAACTAGACGCCACAGGTAATTAAAACGTTAATGTTAGTACCAATACCTGATAACTTGAAGTTACCAGACAATATGTTCCAAATCAACGCCAGATTGAAATACTACATCCCCTATAACAAAGCCCAATCAAAAGCCGGTCTTTTGGACTATCACCACAACATTAGTGTCTTCTATGACGGCTTAACTGGGGACGCATTTGCCTTCTATTACGAACAAGGCCACGGTGTGTTCATACCCGGAGGAACTTCCGACCAAACCTGGGACATCAAGCGTCAAAAATATGAAGAATATTTTGAAAATCCAGTAGCGCCACCACGGCTATTCAAAACTGGTGAAAAGCACGGATACCAACTTTATCCTGATGAAATTTCAGAAACCATCGCTCTAAAACTGTCTCAAATTTTGACTCCTCTTAGTCCGGATTACTCCTCTCAGTGCCAGGCTTTGGCTACAATACTATTCATTTCGAAAACAACGTCTGACAGACTGAAGACTTCTTTATCTGGTCTTGAGACTGTGGTTGGGGACATAAATGGACGAAATCGAGGTGACTTTAGATGGTTGATCGGAATGGCTGAAGGAATAGCGGACTATTTTAGCATGTTTGGAGGCATAGATGCTCTAAATCAAAAACACGTGCATCTAGATCTTGCCAAAGTGTTGAATCAACAATCAGGGATTCACGTTTTGTGTTATTTCGTAGAAACGTTGGCACCACATTTTGATTTAGGGACGAAACTGGGAAAACACCTAAATTCACAACCGGATTTTTTCGTGCTAATTTGCAAACTGGGGGGTGGAATCAGCTATGGTTTCGATGGGTTTGTTTGCGTAATTTTGGAAATAGTGAAGTATAATTACGGAGAAAATTCTATTGAAAATGTTGCTGCAAATTTAAAAACCTACGTTGGTGATGCAAGAGCAGTGACTTCCAATTTGGGTCAAAAGTGGCATACTTTTATCCAAGAACTGCAAGAGACGATTAAAGGCCTTGAACTGGATCGAGCTTTTGGAGGTTTGATGGAGCTTCTTCAAGACATAGTGGGTGGAAATTGGGTCCAGAAAGG